AATGGAGCTCTGTGAGTGAATGAATGAATAGATGGATGGATGGATGGGCGAGATACCACAGAGCATCTGGTTTGTGAATCTGCACCTCTTGCAGCTCTTGCCTCTGTAGAATTGAAGTTTTAAGTGCTCTGAGTCTATGTGTCTGTCATTCATTCAATATTATGTGTGTGCATAACGTTTTCCTGTCTCCAGAAGGCATCAACAAATTATTTTGTGAAGTCTCTTAAATTAAAAGAGCTCTATTCTGATTGGCAAATACAAAGAATTAAGCACTTATACAAATCAAATATTCCTAAAATTCCAAGAAAATGAGGACATGGATGTGTGGTAGACTTGAAAAAAATTCTTCTTTCATAAACTAACTTAGAGACTTTTACAAAATCCAGGTTGACATAATTAAGGTAAATCTTTGCAAATGAAACCAGTTTACTAACTTTGTTTTAATTAAAACAATTATGTTTTCTCTGATTATCAATGTTAAGTATAATACAAATGTGCATTTTATTTTACAGTACTTGGGGGTTTTTCCCCCCCTAAATTTATACAGGTTTACTGATCAAATAAGCAGCTGTTACTCCAATGTATTGTTTAAGATATGAAAAATATATATTTGTGTTTGACTCAAATGAATCATTATTCTGATAAATTTATTTCAACAGCAATTGAATTTTGTAGTATGTCTGCTTGAAGATAATTTCCAAGGCCTGGCTGGTGTTGCTCAGTGGTTGAGCATAGACCCATGCACCAGGAGGTCATGGTTTGATTCTTGGTCAGGACACATGCCAGGGTAGTGGGCACAATCCCCATTAATGTTTCTATCCCTCTCTCTATCTCCCTTCCTTGCTCTGAAATGAATAAAAACATATTTTAAGCCCTAGCCTGTTTGGCTCAGTAGATAGAACATCAGCCCACGGACTGAAGGGTTCCGGGTTCGATTCTGGTCAAGGCCACTTACCTCGGTTGCAGTCTCAATTCCTCGGCCCTGGTCGGCCTCATGCGGGAGGCAACCAATTGACATATCAATATTTCTCTCTCTGTGTCTCTGTCTCTCCCCTTACCTTCCACTCTCTCTTAAAAAAATTAATGGGAAAATATCCTCAGGTGAGGATAAACATTATATATATATATTATAAATTTCCAAGATCTTTTTTTTAAAATATATTTTATTGATTTTTTACAGAGAGGAAGGGAGAGAGATAGAGAGTTAGAAACATCA